CAACCATTCCTTCACCGTACGCTTTAGGATCTGGACAGGCTCCGCTAATGGGGTGAAACCAGTGGGCTGCTGCGACGCTCTGTCGCTGATTGTGCCGTCATTACAGCACGAAATACTCAGCTCAATTTGAAGGTTGGCGAAGTCCGGTCACGACGCTGCTGGCCTGAGAAACATACGCACCACACACGTAGGTGGGTGCAGTTTTCTTGACAGTTGCCGTTCACTTCGACGTTAACGTCGTCGCCGCTGCTACCGTGATCCACGGAAGCGAGGAAATGCACCGGACAGATGTGCCTCGCTGCTACCGCCGTGGTCGCTATGCATTCGAGTCGATGTGATCCGAATATCACGACAGAGCGGGAGTTTGGATGCTGCGGCATGATGCGCTCGTGAGACACTAATGCTGTCCGGCGACTTTCGACGTCGTCGTCGTTGTCGTTGACGTCGAACAGCGGATCGAATGGCCGAGTGTGTGGGCAACATAGTAGTGCTATTCCACCGACTCTATTGGGCAGGTAACTGAGATGCCATCGTACAAGTACACAACACTAATGTTCTTTGAGGGATAGTGATGCTTTAGGTATTTCGACATGTCATGCAGCTTGCAGAAATCACTGCTCTTCATCGCCGCAGTCAAATAGACAGCGTAAAAACACGAGCAGGTTAAGAGACAAGGGAGGGGACAACACGTTTGAAGGGGTTGTGGTCCGAATCGCACAATCAACGTCGAGAATAAAAAAACCGCTGTATCTTCTTCAGACAAGTGGGTGTATCCAATTCCCCTCCTCAAGAGACATCGAACGTGGATATGCCCTATCATACTTGAGGTGCACGAGGGGGAAACTACACCTTGATCTTAGCTATCAGGCCGAGAAGCGTTCTGGCATGTTAAGAGTCAGGGGGAGAAACGTTCTGGAATTTTATCTGTCAGAACGGGAAACGTACCAGCGTGTTAGCTATCAGGCCGAGAAACTTTCTGGGATGTTAGCAGTCAGGATGAGGAACGTTCTGGAATGTTGTACTTCAGGCCGAGAAATGTTCTGGGATTTTAGCCGGCAGGCCTAGAAAAGTTCTGAGATCTTAGGCGTCAAAAGGAATTTGAATCTTAGATGTCTGGCCGAGGAACGTTCTGAAATGGTATCCATCAGGCCGATAAACGTTCTTGGATCTTAGCCGTCGGAACAAGGAACATTCTGGGATGTTATCCGTCGGGACGGGAAACGTTCTGGCATGTTAGATATTAGGCTGAGAAACATTCTTAGAATGTTAGCCGTCAGACCGAGAAACGTTCTGGGATTTTAGACATCGAGCTGGGAAAAATTTTGGGATCATAGCAGTCAGGACGAGAAAGTTCTGTGATGTTATCCGTCAGGACGAGGAACGATCTGGGATGTTAGGCACCAGAATATAAACGTCCTGTGATCTTAGACGTCAAACCGAGAAATGTTCTGTGGTCTAAGTCGTCAAAATGAGGAACGTTTTGAGATGTTACACATCAGGGCGAGGAACGTTGTGGGACTGTAGCACAAGACAATCAGGTGGTAATAGAATGAGTCTAGAATATTATAGAGTGTCTTATGTGAGGCTAGATCTGTACCGTTGGAGATCATTGCTTCGTGGACCATAAACATTGCTAAAATGTTCCTTTAACTGGATAATTTTCAATGTTCCTTTAATTAAAAAATTTGTTCATTGTGATACCGGTGATGCGTATAACAGTATAAGAATACCAGATCGAAATGATAGAATGAATGTAGAATAATTTTAATGGTCATGTGTAAGCCCCAAACCGTACCGGAATAGTGTATTATTTCAGGGAGAACAGATATCACTAAATCAGTGCTTTATATTAAATAATTTGTTCATTGTAATTCCCGCGATGCGTAGAATTGTATAAGACCTTCAGATCGGGATAATATCTAGATAGAATGAATGTAGAATATTTTCAATTACCATATGTAATCCTCGAATCGTACTACAGTAGCGCATTACTTCGAGGACGATAAACAGCAAACGATCGTCCTTTTATACTAAAAACTTGCGTCCTTTATAATCCCAGCGGTAAATAGATTAATATAAGACAATTAGTAGAAAATTTATTGATAGGATGAATGTAAAACGTTTTGAATGACCATATGTAAGCGCCGATTCGTACCGGTGGAACGTATTACTACGAGGAAGAGAAATAGTATTGGATCGTCGTTATATATTTAAAAACTTTGTTCCTTGATCTGCGCAATGCGTAGAGAGATATGAAACCATCAGAGGGAAGTAATCCATTGAAAGTTTGAATTTAGAATTTTTTGAAAAATGATATGTAAGCACCGGTACGTATCGGAGGAGCGTATTACTTCAGGAACAATAAATAGTATTGGACCTTAGTTGTATATTACTAAATTATGTTCATTATTATTCCCGCGATGCGTAGAATAATATACGATCATCGGAGCGAAACAATCTATTGCTTGAGAGAATGTAGAATTACTTGAATTGTCACATGTATTTTCGAACTAGTACAATGTATTTTCACTACCAGTGGATCATATTATTTCGGGATCGATTAATAATATTAAATCGTTTTTTAATTTGAAAGTTGTGTTCATTGTGATCCCTGCGAAACGTAGAATAATATAAGAACATCGGAGCGAGTTAATAATTAGATAGAATGAATGTAGTATGCTTTGAATGAATGTAAGCCACGATCCTTAACGGAGGAGCGTAATATTTCGGGGGCGATAAAAAATGCTATATCGTTGTTTCATATAGAAAATTTGAAGTTTTAATATACGCGAGCTGTAAAATAATATGAGGCAGTCAGATCGAGTTAATATATTATTAGAGTGAGTGTAGAATATTTTAAGTGATCATGCGAAAGTTTCGATCCGTAACGTAGGAGCGTACTATTTCGGGTTAAATAAATAGTATTAAAACGTTGTTTATATTAAAAAATTGGCTTGTTTTGATACCCACAATGAGTAGAACAATACAATAACATCACATCGATATAATATATTCATAGATTGAATTTAGAATATTTTGAATTATCATATATAAGCTCCTGTCCGTACCGGTGGAGCATGTCATCTAGGATCGATAAAAAATGGTGGATCGTCGTTACATATTATAAAATTGTTTTCATTGTTATCCCCGATTTGCGTAGAATGATATAAAATCATTAAATAAAGATAATATATGGATTGAACTATTATTGAATATTTTGAATGAGCATATGCAATCTTCCGTAACGGAGGATCGTATTATTTCGAGGACGATAAATAGTACATTGTAGTTGTTTATATTAACGAATTTATTCATTTTGCTACCCGCAAATGATTAGAAGAGTATGAGACAATCAGATGGTATTTATATAATGATGGAATTAATGTTGAATTTTTTGAGTGGTCGTATGTAATATACATACCTGAAGAGTAACAGAGGAGAGTATTATTCCGGAGACGATAGATAACAATAAATCGCTGTTTTATATTAAGAAATAAGTTCATTATGATCTCCTCTGTGCTTACAATATTATAAATCTATTAGAAGAATATATTCCACAGATAGAGTGAATGTAAAATATTTTGAATGGCCATATGGAAGCCCCTGTCCAGAAGGAAGGTCGATAAATAATAGCTGATCGCCGTTATATATTAAAAAATTGTGTTCATTGTCATCCCCGAGATGAGTAGAGTGATAAGAGATAATCAGACTAAGGTAATATGAAAATAGAAATTTTAAATTCTTTGAATGAGCATATGCAAGTTCCGATCCGTATCGGAGGAGCCTATACTTTCGAGGACGTTAGATGATATTAAATTGTTTCTTCATATTAAAAAATTTGTTCATTGTGTTCCCCGTGATGGGTAAAAATGTATAAAACCGGCAGATCGAGGTAATATATTGAAGAACGAATGTAGAATATCTTGAATGATAATACGTAAGACATGATTCGCAAATGTGAGCCATTTCCGGATAAATAATACTAAATCGTCATTTTGCGTAGAATAATATAAGATCATCAGATAGTAATAATGTATTGATAGTATGAATGTTGAATATTTTCAATTATCTTATT